CCGATGCTTTCTTCAAGATTCAGGTCCTACTGACTCCAGCCAGGGTTGGTACTCTACCCACTGCGCCACCTAGCTGTCCCTTTCTTTGAGATTCAGCTCAGGTGCTATCATTTACACAAGGATTCCCTGATTTCCCCATGGTCCATGACTCTTCAGTGCCCTTCACTCCATCTCATCTCCTACATACAATCAGTTGCCAAATTGTTTCAATTCTAGCTCCAAAATATGTTATATCTCTCTCCCTTTCCCTCTACTCACACGGCTACCTCCTCTAATCCAGGACCTCATCATCTCAATCTTGGATTATTAGAATAGTCTCCTAAATGACTGGCTTCCAGCATCTCCCCCTTTCTTTTTTTTTTTTACTATGGGATTAAGTGACTTGCCAGAGTCACACAGCTAGTAAGTGTTATGTGTCTGAGGCCGCATTTGAACTCAGGTCCTCCTGAATCCTGGGCCAGTGCTCTATCCACTGCACCACCTAGCTGCCCCTAGCATCTCCACCTTTCTAACCCACCCTTGACCCAGCCGTCAAATACATGTTTCTAAAGGACAAATGGGGACATGTCCCTCTCTTACTAAATCTCCCTATTTCCTCTAGGATAAAATGTAAACTCTTCAGGTTGGTATTTAAAGCTCTTCATAGTATAGCTCCAGCTTACACATTATGTTCCTTCATGCACTTTACACTGGAGCCAGACAAGTCTTCTTGCTGTGCTTGGAACTCAATAGTGTAACTTCCGCCTCTGCATCTTTACAAAGGCTGTCATCTTCCCTTCCCTCCACCTCAGCCTGGCTTCCTTGAAGGTTTAGCTCATGTTCTACCTCCCAAGGAAGACTGTCCTGAGCTGCTCATAGCTGTCAGGACTCCCTCCTCAAATAATCATATACTTCTCTGGGCCTCAGTTTCCACCTCTGTAAATGAATCACATGGTTTATACAATATGATCTTCAAGGTCCCTCCCAGCTCTAAATTCCATGATTCTATGTCTGTATCTGTATGCCTAGGGTAACAGATTGAGAGTTAGAAGAGATCTCGGAGGGTACCAAGTCTCTGAAGCTCAGAGAGGTTATTGAGGTCATGTAGATATATGTATCCTTTCAGTCGAATTAAGCATCTTTGGGTCACCAACTCATTTTTATTTCACCACCTAGCACAATGCTTTGGGCCAGCCCCCAGCAGGTGCTCAACAGATGCCTGTTGGACTGGATACCAACCCAATTGGATACCACATGCAATAGTGTACTTTGTTATTGTTGTTCAGTCATGTCTGACTCTTCATGACCCTACAGACCACAGCACACCAATGCTTTCCATGGGATTTTCTAGGTAAGGATACTAGAGTGGTTTACCATTTCTTTCTCCAGTGGATTAAGGCAAGATTTTTCTGGAGTCACACAGCTAATAAGTGTCTGAAGCTGGATCTGAACTCAGGTCTTCCTGACTCCAGCCCCAGCACTGTATCCACTGAGCCATCTCACTGCCTAATAGCACATCAGGCACCTATAAAAACAAAAATAAAACATTTCCTGCCACCAAGCTTACATTGTAATGGCAGGACAGTTAGGATACACAGATAAGCAACTATAAAATTTTAATAGTAAATATATAATTTTAAGAAGAGAGCCTCAGCAAATTATCAGTGGGGGATTCAATGTACAGTGCACTTAACCTTTATGTCACCCAGGCTGGCAAACTTGGAGTCATTTTCAACCCTACACTCTCCTTCTTCCCCATCCCTGCCACCACCTTACTATACCCCCTACAATCAGCTATCAGGATGTGTCCATTCTATTGTGCACTTGACCCCTTGTCTCCAGTTACATAACTGCCACCTACTTTAGGCCCTCGATCAATATTTTTAAAAGTGTCTACTGTGTGGCTAGGCACTGTGCTAAGTGCTGGGGATACAAAAAGAGGCAAAAGACAGACCCTGCTTTCAAAAGCTTACAATAACAACACGAAAACAAATATAGACAAAGCAAACTACATACAGGATAAGTAGGAGATAATTAAGAGTACTAGAATTAAGAGGGATTGCACAAGTCTTCCAGTAGAAGGTATGATTTTAGTTGAGATTTAAAGGAAGCCAGGGAGGTCAATAGTCAGAAGAGAAGAGGGAGAGAATTCCCAGAGAGAATGCCTGAAGTTGAGATGGAGTGTCTTATTTGTGGAACAGCCAGAAGGCCAGAGGCACTGGACTGGAGTATGCACTGGGGAGTACGGTGTAAGAAGACTAGAAGGTTAGGAGGGGGCTGGGGTTCTATGAAAGGTTCTGAACGCCAAACAGAGGAGTTTGTATTTGACCCTGGTGGCAACAGGAAGCCCTTGGAGTTTAGTAAGCAGGGAGGCAATACGGTTGGACTGGAATTTTGGGGAAATCACTTTGGTGGCTAACTGGAAGATGAATTGGAAGGGAAAAATACTTTAGGCAGGGTGACCCACCAGCAGGCTTTTGCTTTCCTCACTGGCCTACTTGCTTCCAATCCTTCCTCTCCAAATAAAATTTTGACACAACTGCCAATCTTTGTAAAGCACAAGTCTGACCATATCACGCCCCTCCGTAAGAATCTCCAGTGCTTCCCCACTGACTCTAGCATGAAAAAGAAGTTCCTTATCTTTTGCATACTGAACCCTCTCACAATCTGGCTCTAGGCTAACTTTCCAGATTTCACATGATTCCTCTTCACTTTCTAGGTCCCACATTCAACTTATTGTTCTCATACATGATATTTCCATCTTCCACTGTTGTATCTTTGTACAAGTTGTGTTCCATGCTTGGAATTCACTCTCCTAACCACCACCTTTAAGAATCCATCTTCCTTCAAGACTTAGCTAGGGTACAACCTCCTACATAAAAGTTTTAAAGGATACCCTCTCTTCATGGATTAGTGCTTCCCCCACCAAAAAAATTATTTTGTATTTGCATGGTATGTTATATTTACCTATGCATGTGTTACCTTCATGACCATTTTGTTTGTCTTTGTATCCCCGCTTGCATGATGCTTTCAACATTACAGACAGCAATGGCTTTCCAGGGTAACTAGCACTGAAGCCACACCTTGAAGGACAGGATTCCGAGGGGCAGAAATGAGACGTGACAGAAAATGCTATCCACATCCAGAGAAAGAACCATGGAGTCTGAATGCAGATGGAAGCATACTATGTTCTCTTTCTCATGGTCTTCCCCTTTTGCTCTGATTCATGTCTCACAACGTGACTAATATGATTGTACGTATATAGCCTGCGTCAGATTTCATGCCATCTTGGGGAGGGGAGAAAATTTAGAACTCAAAATCTTATAAAAGTGAATGTTGAATACTAATAAATAATTTTAAAAATGAGCAAGTGACTTCTAGTCATAGGCAATGGGTCAGGAAAATGTAAGCAGGCAGGAAAAAGAGCTTAGGGAACAGCTGGCATTGCAATTTCACTGGAACATACTTCGTGAAGGGGAGTGATGTGATATAAAGCTCAAAATGTGGGTCAACGCCAGATCTTGGAGGGCCCTAAATGCTGAAGCTGTTTGCATTTCATGCCAGAGGTAATGAGGAACCATGAAAGGCTCTTGAGTAGGGATATGACCTAGTCAGATCTATGTTGCAGGGAGATTATTTTGGATAGATTGGAGGAGAGGTTGGAAGCAGGGAAACCAAACAGTCTAATTAATAGTCCAAGTCAGTAGAGTCAAACTCAAATAGAAACAGGGGCTACTAGACCCTGTAGGCCACATATTGCTGTAGAAATCCACGTATCGATAGTATGTTTTGTTGCATTTTAATTTATTTTGTTAAAAATTTCCCAATCATATTTTAATCTTGTTGTTTGTACTCTGCAGTGTTGTGGGCTGCATATGGCCTGACCACCTCTGGTCTAGGCTACAAATGTTAAGGGTGATGGCACTCTCCCACTGCTTGCTGAATTTTAACTGAATGCTTCATTGTGGTGCTGAGGTGATCCTGGGTTCCCAAAAGCTGTGCTAAGAAAAGGTGGCAGGTCCCCCTATGTATACAGCTGTTATTGGAGGCTTAATAAATGCTTGTCTATTACTTGAACTGATGCTGAGTGAAGTGAGCAGAAACCAGAAAAACACTGTACATAGTAATAGCAACATTATGCTATGATCAACTATGATAGATTTAGCTCTTCTCAGCAGTACAATGACCCAAGATAATTCCAAAAGACGTGATGGAAAATGCTATCCATATTCAGAGAAAGAACTGTGGATTCCAAATACAGATCGAAGCATACTATTTTCACTCTTTTTTTGTTTTTCTTGGTTTTTCCCCTTTGTTCTGATTCTTCTTCACAATGTGACTAATGTGGAAATATATTTAACATGATTGTACTGCATAACCTATATCAGATTGCTTGCTGTCTTAGGGAAGGAAAAATTTAGAACTCAAAATCTTACAAAAATCAATGTTGAAAATTATCTTTACATATAATTGGAAAAAAATACTATTAAGTGCAAAAAAATTTTTAAAAATGCTTATCTAAGTATCAAGAGGCTCATCATCAGGGGGCTGAGCAACTGGGAGGATGAATTTTTTTTTTTTGCAAAGCTGTTTTGAGACACTGTTGGTGCCTCACCCCACAGAATAGTTACAACGTACATTAGTGGAAGATGGCCCACAGTTGATGAAATCAAGGATTCTTAAGTATCAAATAAATGCTAATACTTAACCAACAACCATCTCACCCCCGCAGTCCAAACTCTCCCAACTTGTGACCCACACATACATAATTTGCACATAAATGCCTTTCTCCCTGGGGCACAAATATGATGTCATGACTTGCAAGTGAATTGGATTTAACTGAGGCAGGGCCGTGCAAAGTCACCAGCCTCACTCTCTCCTTTGGAGCCAACTGGGTCCTATAGCAAGATACTGATCAGGATGCCTGGAGGTGGTCCAGGACACAGTGGGAGACCTTGGCATTTTTTAAGCTAAGGTCTCTCCCAGGTCTCAGTTTGTCTGAGGCAATGCCCATTCAGTGATTAAGAGTAGGTAAGAAATGAGGCAAAGGATGACCTCTCTTACTCAAAAAAAAAAAATCAATCTGGGAGGGGAAGACACACAGAGACTCATACCCCACATAAACTAATACTCAATACTTAAAGCCAACTAGTGGGGTGAGGGAGGGGGAAGAACAGGGGCAAACTCGGAAATGGTCCCAATACCACTGTTGATGGAGCTGTGAATTGTTATAACTATTCTGAAAATCAATTTGGGATTCTGTGAGAAAAGTCAGAGTAGCATAGATTGAGAGCTAAGAAGGGAGTTTAGGGGCATGTCTAGTCCAACTCTTGTATTTTACAGATGAAAAAGCTAAGGTCCAGCAGGGATTTAAGTGACAAGCCCAAGATCATGAGTAGACAGCAGATATCTGAACTTGGGTCCTTTGACTCTCAATCTATGGATCCTTCTATTTTTTGTCACCTGGTTACAGACCCTTGGACCACACGATACCACTACTGAGAACATACCTAGGTTCCATCCAAGCCAAAATATTTACAGAAGCAAAAAACTGGCAACAAACATAGGGGCCTAATGATTAGGAACAGAAGAACTGTGGAATATTACTGAACTACAGAGAGTGGTGAGGAATTCAGAGCTCGTAGGGACTGCTGTGTGAACTGATAACAGTGCAAAGAAAGTAGAACCAGGAGAACCATGTACGCAATGAGTACATTACTGTAAATGACAACAGAACTAGGACCGAATACAAAGATCAATGTTGGTTCCTGATGACTGCGGTTGGGACATCTCCCTTGGTGGAGAATGTGGAGCTTAGGAACTGTTATATAATCTGTCATTTGCAGTTATGCTTAACAGGGTTTTTTTTTTGTTGTTGGGGTAGGGGAACAGATGGACACACAACTGGGAAAGGATCATGATGTAAAAAGAAAAATTCATTTCAAAAATATTTCCTACCTGACTAAAATAGCATTTCACAAACCTAAGTGGTATACTACATATACCTAGAGGAACAGGAACCTTACCATAGTGGAAGGGACAAAAACTTTCTGCAGGAGGGAGAAAAATTCTGCTTGCATAGCAAGGAAGGCTGAAGGGATCCAGGCACAGCCACAGGGTATGGGAACAAGCAGCAGCACCTGAAAGCTCAGAAAACAACCCCCAAAGGAGAGACACTGGGAAGGAACACTTTTAGAATTAAGAGATGCCAAAATTCTGGCTGGAGGTAGGATGGCAAATGAGGTATATAATTTCCCCTTTGCTCTGAAAAAGAGCAAACTTTTTCAAAGCCCAAGACTCCTGAGTGCCAACAGAGAACATCCACTTTCCCTCATTAAGAAAGGCTAGCCATAGCAGCTCTGTAAGGGATGGTGGCCTGCCTCCAATGCAGAAGGCAATCCAGGAACACACTCCTCAGTCTTCCTTCCAGTCATCTTGTGCCCAGGCAGGCATGGGTGAAGAGTACTCAAAGCCAGGTCCTTTATAGCGCAGGGCATGAAGGTACATCACCAGCTCCTGAGGCAAGGGGTCCTGTCTCACCAAACGGCATTCCTCACAGAGAGGGTCCATCTCTTTATTCTTCAGCCCTGACCCAGCTGCCTCCCCAGGGGGCAGCTCGGTTGTGTCCAGGTCTGAGGGAGGTTTAAGACCCGGGGGTAGGTCTCCTTCAAAGAGATCCAGAACATCCAGGCTTTGTTTGGCCCGGTGTTCCTCCAACAGGTCCCGTAGCAGCTCATCATCTGTCTTAGGGATGTGACCACCTCGGCCCCGGGCTGGGCCCCAAGCTGCTGTGTTATAGATGGGGTCGTTAACGATAGGGTGGCCCAGGAACTGCAAGTGTACCCGGATTTGGTGGGTACGGCCAGTAAGAGGCCGGCACCGGACCACGCTAGAGTGACCACTGTAACTCAGCCTCTGGAATACAGTTTCACAGGGCTTGCCCCGGGGGTCCACACGGCACAGCCCCACCTTGTAGGACACCACCAAGATGGGCTCCTTGCAGGTGACTTCTTCAGCAGGGAACTCTCCTTCCACCCGGCATACATATTCTTTCTCCAGCTACAGAAGAGAAGACAAAGTTAGCAAAAAAGCTCCAGCTCTCAGATTGCCACTCTCAAGTATTCTGGGTCCACTTTTCCCACATCCAGATTCAGTAATCCCAAGATTCTAACCACTACCTCGGAGCTCTGTGTCCAAGCTTCCCTATTCCTCTTAGGGTATCTCCCTTAAATCTTAGCATCCTCTCCACCTGCCCTTCTGCACAGTAACACATTCTTTTAAAAAAAAAAGTTTACTTAGCAACTCTGATAAGACAATGATCCAAGACAATTCGAAAAAATCATGATGAAAAATGCTATCTGCTTCCAGAAGAACTGATGAACTCTGATCACAGACTGAAGCATACTTGTTTCACTTTCTTTTTTTTTTTTTACAACATGGCTAATATGGATATATATTTTGTATGACTTCACAGGTGTAATTCATATGGTTTGCCTTCTCAATGGGTGGGGGAGGGACTGGAGGGAGGGTGAGAATGCAAAATTCAAAATTAAAAAAATAGTTAAAAATACATTTATTAAAAAAAAAAGAAAAATGTTTAATTTTATAGCTATCTTGTTTTTACATTCCCTTTACTTCAAGGAATATCCCCTCCCTCTAGCCACACTAGCAACTGTCATCATTATCCAGCAAGCAATACATCTGTAACATTCCTTTGTTACTTTGTAATGAAGAAAAAGAGAAAAAAAAAGGATGTCAACAAAATTCAGCAACCCATCAACTGAATCTGACAGTATATGCAATGTTCACACCCACAGCTCCCCACCTTTGCAAAGAAGGGAGAGAGGTATATTTTCTCACCTCTTTTCTGCTTGGTCATTATAATTAAATAGCATTCAGTTCAGATGAACAGGCTAACAAAGGTTATGTAGTCTACTACTTCTTACTGTGTGATGCTAGGCATTCCCTATACTCTTATGAATCTCAGTTTCCTCATTTGTAAAATCAGGAGTTAGAACAGATGACCTCTGAGGTCCCTTCCAACTCTAAATCTTTATGGGCCTATGTCTTCCATCTCTGAGACCTCTGAAAACAACATATGATGTTGAGATTTCCAGGGCCTGGCCTCGACCAGGTGACTTGAGAAGCCCTTCCAGATGTAGAATTCAATGATCCCCCCACCCCAACACTGAGCATCTGTGGGCTTAAGCTGCACTGGGCCTATAAGAAGAGCATGTGCCTGCCTCGCTTTACCTGCCGATCTCTAACTTGCTCATGGATACGCTCAGAGACGGTGGCCGTCTTGGCAAACATAAGCACCCCGGAGGTGAGGCGGTCCAGCCTATGCAGTGGATGCAGCTCCTTAAGCCGGTGCTCCTTGCCCAGGACGAAGATGACAGTGTTGTGGCGGAAGCGACCACAAGGGTGAACGGGCATGGAGGAGGGCTTGTCCACCACCACGACTTCATCGTCCTCAGCTAGCAGGCGGATGGGCTCTGCTGTCACAGGGGGCTCATGCCGGTGGACGGTGTTCTGCAGGAAGTCATTGTCCTGCCAGAGACATACAAGCCTTTGAGTCAATTCAGTGGCGGCAAACCTGCACCCACTTCAGGGGCGAAAGGAGCAGAGTGTTAGGAACACCACAACAGTCACTACCACTCAGGATCACAGATACAGTTAGGGTCAGAATGACATTAGAAGTCTTGGAGTCCAACCCTTTCATTTTTACAGATGAGGAGACTAAAGATTAAGGTCACAGTGCTAGTAAATGTCTGAAGTAGGATTTGGACCTGGGTCTTCTCAATCCCAAGTCCACTTCCTACTATGCCACACCATCTCTCAAGTGCTTTTTTTTTTTAATGCTTTGTGGTTGCTCTTTTAATTATTTTTACACATTACTCATTTCCCAATGACTTCTTGCCTTTCCATCTCCCCACATGACCTTTCCTAGTAACAAAAAAAAGACATTCAAGCAAATCTTACATGCTAACCACATCTCACATTCCCCCAATAGAACGTAAGCTCCTTGAAGTAAACGACTGCTTCATAGTTTGTCTCTGTATCCCTAGCATCTATCACACGGCCTGGCACATAGTAGGCACTTCATAAAGGCAAGATTGGTTGACTGATGTCTGAAAATGTATGTTTCATTCCAAACCTATAACATCCTACCTACCACCTCTTTGCCAAGAGGTATGCTTCATCATCAGTCCTCTGAAATTAGAAGAAGACACTGCAACTGATCACAGTTCCTAAACCTCAAAGGGAATTCTTCAAACTGCTGACTCAACAAACATCTGTTGTTTAGCCATTTCAGTTGTGTCTGACTCTTCATAACCCGTTCAGGGTTTTTTTTTTGGGCAAAGATATTGGATTGGTTTGCCATTTCCTTTTCCAGCTCATTTTACAGATGAGGAACTGAGGCAAACAGGGTAAAGTGACTTGCCCAGCGTCACACAGGTTGTGTCTAAGGCTGGATTTGAATTCAGATCTTTCTGATTCTAGGCCTAGCACTCTATCCACTACATCACCTAGCTGCCCAAACATTTGTTAAACATCAACGTTCTGAGAGCTGTGGTGCTAGAGATTTAAAAATTCAGATAAGGAAATGTCAGCTCTCACAGAGCTTATATTCCCTTGGTGGAACACAAGGCACGGCTAATATGCTGATTTGTTTTGCTTGAATGTCTTTTTTTTTTTTATTTAACATAGTGAGTTCTTATGGGGAGAGAGAAAATGAGAAGGTAGAAAGTGACAGTGATATTTAATAAAACATTTTAAAATGGGAGAAGTTTCTAACCAACTTACTGAGAATGCCATGCTCATGAGGAATAACAGCAATCCCTAATATAAATGGGGATCAATAAGTCACACATCCCACAGGTTAGGTAAGGTACACACCGGGGCAGTCAGCAAACGTATGTATGCAGCCTCAGATATCTAGGTGTCTGAGAGACAGAGTTGGAAAAAATACTTCTTGCACTTAAGGAATTCACAACCTAGAGTGATGAGATATGTACAGAAAATTATAGTAAAAATCTGCAGTGATCAGTACCCAGGGGAGCAGAGAAGTCTATCAGGTAGAGGATCACTCCTAGTTGGGGATGTCAGGGAAGACATGGAAAAGGTGGCAGCATCTGAACTGGTCCATGAAGGAGGGAAAGGATTTTAACAGGCAGGTATAAGAAGCCATTTCAGGCAAGAGGACATCGTATATCAACATAAAGAGAGAGGAAAAGTAGCTAATAGGACAGTACACACGAAAGAGAAATAATGCAAAATAAAATTGGAAATGCAGATTGGAGGCAGATCATGAGAGCCTTATATGTCATGAAAAAGGAATTCATATCCTGTAGATAATGGGAAGCTTTTGAAGGTATTTGAGCAGGATCAGACCTGCATATTAGGAAAATTACTTTGGCACTGATGTAAAGGAGAGACTGGAGGCATCTATTAACTCGTAGGTGCTAATAAAGTAGGAGTAGGAAGGAAAGGATAGATGCTAGTGATAAAATCGATAAAACCTGACCACTAATTAGATGTAGGTGAGGAAGATGAAGAATTTAAAGAAGACTGATGTGTTGAGCCTACATTACTGTACCACTGACAGAAACAGAGAGATTTGGAGGAAAAGCAGGTTTTGGGGAAGGGTAAGAGATAAAATGACTTCATTTTGAGATGTTACATTTAAAGCGTTTAAAGCAGGAGATTGAAGTGAATATGCCAGCAAGGATCGGAGATCATCTGTAAACACAGATTTAGGATTCTTTTGTAGAGATCAGTATTGAAGCCAACGGAATAAAAAATATTGTCAAGAGAAAAAAACCATAGAATGAAGAGATCTAGAGGATGGAGACTGGGATATACCCACTCACTCTTAAGGGAAGGGTGTGGAATAAAGAGACCTCAAAAGAACGTGCAGAAAGGAAAGAAGAGAGCCAGGAGATAGCAGTATGGTGGTTGTAGGGTCAAGGAGTGGATGTTCAGTGTCAAATGGTACATAAAGGTCAAGAAAAATGGATCTCACTTAAAAACTCATGGGAAGGTTATTATTGGGTACCAGCATGATGCTAGGGTTTGGTGGCATGAAACTGTCACGTAAGGACCATGAGGATATCTTCCAACTATATTTAGCATTAATTAGGTCTTCATTAGAACATGGCATCCAAAGCTTCATGACTTGACTGGAAAAGAAAACAGGATTCAAAAAAGAACTAAGGAAACTGCTAATCTGACCGTTGGGAGTCTGTGAAACCCACGTTAAGGACCAGTGCTCTCCAAGAGGTCAAGTTAACTACTTCACCAGTTAGTATACTTCCCTAACCCAATTAGGCAAACTGCTCCTGCTAATTAAGAACAAGAAGGAAGAGCCACTGTTCTCACAGAGCTTGCCATCTAAGGAGAACACAAGCTGTGTTTCCATTGAAACAGGAAAAGTATACAAGATAAAAAGTAATAATAACAGCATTTGGCAAATACTATATCATTTTATCCTCACAACCACCACCCTGGGAGGTCGGTGCTATCATTATCCCCCATTATACGATGAGGAAAGTGAGGCTAAGAGGTTAAGGGACTTGTTTAGGGGACACACTGCTAGAATGTCTGCAACTGGATTTGAACTCAAGGTCTTCCTGAGCATTCTATCCCCTGGCGCCAACAGTGAGGGCGCTAGGGAGATCATGAGGTGGAGCTCAGGGAAGGCTTTTTGAGGGGAGTCGTTTGCATTGGTCTTGGCCGTCTCCCCCTCATCTCCCAGGAGCCCCACCTTAAGAATAACGCTGAGGTCTCGCACTGGATGCTCGTTGAGGCGCAGGCGGCCAGCCCTGGCGGCTGCCTCGTAATAGGAGAGGGGGTGGGCGCGAAACTCGGTACTGTAGACATGGAGCAAGCTGCGGCCCACCCAGCGGCCCTTGCAGTACGTCTGGAAGTCGAAGTAGTAAGGCCGCACCTTGCGCAGCCCGCCCTCGAAGTAATAGCTGGTCTCGGCAAAGTGCTGGTCGCTGAAACTGACCCCGGCCCGCCGCTTCTTCGGTGGCGGCACGAAGCGCTCCCCGATCTGGCCCCGCCGTTTCTTCCGCCTGCCCGAGGTTGGGACCGAGGCCGGAATTAGCGCCTGCTCCTTCTCCCGGGCCGGGGGCTGCTGCTCTCCGTAGGACTTGGCGCCGCCCTGAAGCTGCAGTTCCTGCGGCTCCTCCGGGTAGCTGAGGTCTCTGTCCTTCAGTTCGGGAGCCTCGCACCCACCGCTTGCCATTATCAACCTGCAGCCGTGGGGGCTGCCCGAGAACCCCGCAAAGGTGAATCTCCGCAGGGTAAAGCGAGCTGCGGCAAGCAGGGAGACAAGAGCCCCGGACCCTCTCAGCCACATAGCCCAGGATCGCTCGGCCACGTGGGGGACGCCGCTCCCTAGCGGCGCAAGAAGATGACGCAAATCCTTCACCAGCCAATCTTATGGCCGAATGCGGAGGCCTCGAAGAAAACTGTCGCAAGCACAGAGACGTAGAGAGCAAGTCGCGTCAATTAAGGGAGGGACCTAGGAAGTCGTTGGGAACTAGGCAGTTGGAGAAAAGAGCAGTGCTGAAATTTTGTGATTGCAAAGTGATATTGCATCGCAGCCTTTCCCTATAGCGAGTTGACTTTTTAAAAAATTATTGATTTTTTTTAAAAAACTTTTTTAAAAAACATTTATTTCTCCTAGTATTCCACCTCTTACAAGTAATATTTTTAAAGAAAAAGGAAGAGAAAAAAATAAGTAAAACCTATCAATATATTGGAAAAGTCTGAAAATGCATGACATGTTCCATATCCATGGGCCTCTCACCTCTTTAAAGGAGTAGGGAACTAGTTCACTTTTTAAATTTGATTTGATTTTTTATTTAGTATTTTGTTTTTCCCCAGTTACATGTAAAAACTTTTTTGACATTCGTTTTTAAAACGTTAAGTTCCAAATTTTCTCCCTTCCTCTCTCCCCACCCTACGTCTTCATTGAGAAGGAAGCAATTAAATATAGGTTATACATGTATAGTTATGCAAAACATATCTATAATAGTCATGTTGTGAAAGAAAAAAAAAAAACCTCAAGAAAAATTTTAAAAAGTATGCTTCAATCTGTATTCAGATACCATCAGTTCTTTCGCTAGGGATGGATAGCATTTTTTCATCATAAATCCTTCAGAGTTGTCTTAGATTGTTGTATTGCTGACAATAGCTAAGTCATTCATAGCTGATCATCTCACAATATCGCTGTTACTTTGTACACAGTATATTTCACTTTGCATCAACCCACACAAATCTTTCCAGTTTTTTCTGAGAGCATCCTGCTCATCATTTCTTAAAGTACAATAATATTCCATCATAAGCACATATCACAACTTGTTCAGTCATTCCCCAATTGATGGGCATCCTCTCAATTTTTAATTCTTTGCTCCCATAAAATGAGCTGCTATAAATATTTTTGTACATATAGGTCCTTTTCCTTTTTTTTTTTTTAAATCTCTTTTGGGATATAGACTCAGGAGTGGTATTGCTAGGTCAAAGGGTATGCATAGTTTTAAAGCCCTTTGGGCATAATTCCAAATTGCTTTACAGGATGGTTGAATCAGTTCACAACTCCACCAACAGCGCATTAATGTTTCATTTTCCCCAAATCCCCTCCAACATTTGTCACTTACATTTTCTGTCCTATTAGCCAATCTAATAGGTATGAGGTAGTACTAAGAATTGTTTTAATTTGCATTTCTCCAATCAATAGGCAGTTAGAGTATTTTTTTCATATGTTATAGGTAGCTTTGATTACTTCATCTGAAAACTGATCATATCTTTTGATCATTTATCAGTTGGAGAATGGCTTTTATTCCATCCTCTTTCTCTTTTCATCCTGTCCCCCCTTCCCTAATCTGCCCTCTCTTCCATCACCCCCTCCTTCTTATCCCCTTTCCCTCCTACTTTTCTGTAGGGTAAGATAAATTTCTCTACCCAATTGAGTATTCCCTCTTTGAGTACCCAGTTGAGCCAATTTTGATGATAGTAAGGTTCACTCACTCCCCCTTACCTCCTCCCTCTTCCCCTCCAATGTAAAAGCTTTTTCTTCCCCTCTTTTATGTGAGATAATTTACCAGTCTACCTCTCCCTTTCCCTTTTTCCCAGTACATTCCTCTCTTACCCCTTAATTTTATTTTTTTAAGATATTATCTCTTCATATTCAACTCATATCTGTGCCCTCTGTCCATATATACTGCTTTGACTGCCCTAATAATGAGAAAGTTCTTACGAGTTACAAGTATCATCTTCCCATGTAGGAATGTGAACAGTTTAGCTTTATTAAGTCCCTTATGATTTCCCTTTCCTGTTTACCTTTTTCTGCTTCTCTTGAGTCTTGTATTTGAAAGTCAAATTTTCTATTCAGCTCTGGTCTTTTCATCAAGAATGCTTAAAAGTCTATCTCATTGAATATCTATTTACCTCCCTTGAAGGATTATACTTAGTGTTACTGGGTAGATGATTCTTGGTTGTAATCCTAGCTCCTTTGTCTTCCAGAATATCATATTCCAAGCCCTTTGATCCTTTAATGTAGAAACTGCTAAATCTTATGTTATCCTGACTGTGGCTCCACCATACTTGAATTGTTTCTTTCTGACTGCTTGCAATATTTTCTCCTTGACCCAGGACTCTAGAATTTGGCTATAATATTCCTGGGAATTTTCATTTTGAGATCTCTTTCAGGAGGTGATGGGTGGATTCTTTCAATTTCTATTTTACCCTCTGGTTCAAGAATATCAGGGCAGTTTTCCTTGATAATTTCTTGAAAGATGATATTTATTTATTTTTTTTATCATGGCTTTCAGGTAGTCCAATAATTCTTAAATTATCTCTATTTTCCAGGCTAGTTGTTTTTCCAATGAGATATTTCACATTGTCTTCTATTATTTCATTCTTTCATTCTTCATTCTTTTCATTCATTCCACTCTTGGTTTTGTTTTATTATTTCTTGATTTCTCATAAAGTCAATAGCTTCCATTTGCTCCATTTTAATTTTTAATGAGTTATTTTCTTCAGGGAGCTTTTGGACCTCCTTTTCCATTTGACCAATTCTGCTTTTCAAGGCATTCTTCTCATTGGCTTTTTGGCCCTCTTTTACCATTTGACCTTGTCTGTTTTTTGACGTGTTATTTTCTTCAGTATCTTTTTGGGTCTCCTTTACTAAACTGTTGCCCCTTTTTTCATTATTTTCTTGTATCACTCTCATTTTTCTTCCCAATTTTTTCTCTATCTCTCTTATTGATTTTCAAAATCCTTTTTGAGCTCTTCCATAGTCTGAGACATATTTTTCTTGGAGGTTTTGGATGTAGGAACTTTGACTTTGTTGTCTTCTGAGTGTGTGTGTTTTGATCTTTCTTGTCACCATAGGAAGTTCCTGTCATCAGAGATTTTTTTTCCCCATTGTTTGCTTATTTTTCCAGCCTATTACTTGACTTTTAACTCTTTATTAAAGTAGGGCTCTGCTTCCAGGGTGGAAGGTATACTGTTCCAAGCTTCAGGGTTTTGGTGCAGCTATTTTCAGAGATATTTCTAAAGACTGGTAAGTTTTCAGTTCTTACAATGTGGTATGATCTAAGGAGAGGGGTTTATTACTCTCCTGACCTGTGCTCTGGTCTATGAGTGATAACAAGCACTCTTTTCTGCCCTGGAACTATGAGGATGGTTCCCCCCTCCACTGTGGCTGAAAGCTCTGGTATACTAGTGCTCCTCCTCCTGCCACCCAGAATTGTGACCCAGAGCTGAGTATGGGAAAAGCAACAGAGTCCTGCCTCAGTGCTAGCAAAAGACCCCTGTAATCTTCTGATCAATTGTTGGACTCCCTTACTGTCTGTGAGCTGAGAGCTCCAGAAACAGCTGCTGCCACTGCCACAGTCGCTGCTGATTTTAGTCACTCTCAAGGCCTGCTCCGAGTTTGCTGGGGCCAGATCTACACTGGTTTGGTCCAAGCTGGACTGTGTTCCTCTTTCACCTTGGTGCAACAGACCTTCCTGCCGATCTTCCAAGTTGTCTTGGGCTGGAAATTTGTTTTACTCCATCCTTTTGTGAGTTCTGCTGCTCTGGAATTTGTTTGGAGTCATTTTAAAAAGGTGTTTGGAAGGATTTGGGGGAGAGCTTAGGCGAGTCCCTGCCTTTATTCTGCCATCTTGGCTCCCCCTCACTAGTTCACTTCTAAAAGTCAGTTAATGGAAGGGATGTGTAAATATAGGTATACTAATGCACCATTGTTGGAACTGTGAACTGGTCCAACCATTATTGAGAACAGTTTGGAACTATGCCCAAAGAGCTATCAAACTGCGTACCCTTTGACCCAGCAATAACACTACTGAGTCTGAACCCCAAACAGAACAAAGAAAATGGGAAAGAGGATTTACATGTACAAAAATATTTATAGCAACTTTTTTGTGGTGGCAAAGAATTGGAAATTGAGGGAGTACCTATCCATTGGAGAAAGGCTGAATAAGTTGTGATATATGAATATAGTGGAATACTATTGTGCTATAAGAAATGAAAGGGATGGTTTCAGAAAAACCTGTGAAGACTAATATGAAGTGATGCAAAGCAAAGTAAGCAGAACGAGGAGAACGATGTACACAGTAACAGCAATATTGTAACCATGATCCACTGTGAAAGACTTAGCTGCTTTGATCAATACAATAATACAAGACAATTCCAAAAGACTCATGATTAAAAATGGTATCCTCTAGAGAGAGAATTGATGAACTCTGAGTACATATTGAATCATACTTTTTTTTCTACTTTATTTTTTTTATCTATTTCTTGATTTTTCTTGCTTTTTTTGGTGACATTGCTAAAATGGAAATATGTTTCATATGATTTCACTTTTGGATGATCATGGGTATCATATTGGATATCACATTTGCGTGATGTTGATTATCATATTACTTGCCTTCTCAGTGTGTGGAGGAGAGACTGGAGAGAGAGATAGAATTTGGAGCCCAAAATGAATGTTAAAAATAAACAAATGTTGCTTTTTTTTTTAAAGAACAAAACATCAATTAACCTTTCTATGCCTTGGTTTTCTTACATATCAGATGCATATAATAATAGGGGCACTTTACGATTCATAGGGCTGTTGTAAAGATCAGGTGAGACCGATGTAGGCATACTTAGAAAAAATAAAAATACTATATATACAAATTATTATAGTCTAGTATGATAATGTACCAAATCTATACCAAAATGGACTTAAAGATTAAATCTTTACAATTTGATTTGGCCAAATACATTCCATTCAGTATCCAATAAACCCCAGTGCATCTTTCTTTCCTCCAAGATAAATATGGTCTCGGGGCAGCTAGTTGGCATGGTGGATAGAGCACCGGCCCTGGATTCAGAAGGA